ACCACTAATTGCTCTAGAGAGTTCTGTCGAGTCATACCATCCTTATGAAACAAGGTAACAATTATTTACATTTTATTTTCTTTTCTTTTATTTACATCCCTTTATTGCATTTCTTTCTTTTAAAATTTCAAGATTTGTTCGAAGAGGCATGACTTACTAAAATAATCCTCGGTACTACATCCGAGGATTTAGATTTGCACTAGATAGATTGAGGGCTAACAATGTAAGTTTGTTACCGCTACATTCTCTAAATATATGCTAACATCTGTATTTAAACTCTAACTATTGTATTTTTCTGTAACAATTTATTTAGAGGCCCTACCCGAACTATCCAAAATGCGTCCTTGCAGATACCCAGATTTGGAGCGCGGCCACATCAATTATCAGTTTTCATATTGTTGAAATGCATCAAGCTGATAGGGTCAAATTGCAGTTTGGATTTCAACAAGATATCCCTTCTCATCCTAGATGTCTACGCGAACAACATGAAACTGATATGCCCAATACATGGGGAGATCATTGGCGCAATATAAATAGAGAAGATAACAACGAGTGAAAAAACATTAAAAAAAATTGACCTTGAAAGGTAACATGGTTAACAGTAACTATGTTCATAGTACTGCATATATGAAATGGTTTTTGTCCATTCCATTTATGCATGCTTCTCAAGGACAGTTCCTAGAAGACCCCCGTCAATATGCATCGTCTTCATCACAGCAAAGATCTTCGTCGTCTATGCCTCAAGAAATCCCCCAGATGAACCCTTCGCAATTTCAATCCCAAACATCTTCATTCCCCCAACACACCCAACCCACACAACTCCAACCAACTTATCAACGCACTCATACCACATTCTTTGCCACATCCTCTCAACAATCAACACCGTACACCCCAACCCCGCAACCTAACTTCTACTACCACCAAAAATACCAAGAACAAACCATATTTTGACCATCCTTCCAGTTCACTCCAATTCCTCGACGTAATTTTGATTTCTCTTACCCCTAATCACAACACCAAACATTTAACCCTTCACTGTCTCAACCGACTTCTACCGGCCGCACTGACGATGTTTATTACCCTCCCATCCAATAAAGCCCTCCAACCACCTTCAACCAACCATCCCAGATAGTCCCCAACTTTCTCCTAACTGGTGATCAACTTATGGAATGGCCAGGTTTTTCTGTTACTCATGTGGGCATGGTCGATACATAACATCAACCTGAAAATGTATGTGAAGATGAAAATTTGTCTTCCGACTCTACTCCATCACCACCAAGACAACAACCAGAAGAGTTAGGCAGGAGAAAACGCGTGAAAAAGAGTAAAACGTGTGGATCTGGGGGTCATTTGTGTAGACAAAAATGATGTATCTTTTTCACTCATTTGTATTAATAAAATTGCTTTTATCTATAATTTTATTTAATAAACAAATTATTTTTATTAATTATATAATTAATTAAATAATACGAAAAATATTTAATAAGATTATAAAATTAATTAAATTATATATTTTTTAATGTTTTAAATCATTAAAAGAGTATTTAATATTTATAAAACAATTAAATATATTTTTAAAAATGAGTTTTATATTTAAATAAAATTAAAAATTAAAAAAAATGATTCTTCATGGGGTCGTCCTTTGGTTGGCTGAACCCCTACATGGGGAAAAACCTTTTCACAGGTTCGCCCTTCCATTGGACGAGCCCCTACTGCATGTGTGGCAGATTCATATATTTGTTTTTCAAAATGTGGCATTTTAGTAAAAAATATCCATAATCTTGAATAATCAACGCATGTGGGTCCCTCTCTGATTGAAAAACCATGTCACTTATAGCATTTGAAACGTCAAATGCACGTGTTTGATTTCCAGCACTGCTAGTGAATTTCTTTGTACTGCCTCCATGTTCCTCCCTTAACCATCTAGATAAACCAATAATTCTCCTTTGCTACACCCTAAGGTCAGACGACCAAGCACGAACTCCATTATCCTCTCCCATAGAGAATCAGACCTCACATCTTTGTTCAGAGTGGCATAAAATTCCACAAACAAAACAGAAAAGACTAAGCTTTTCATATCTGAAGTTAATTGTGCACCAATCTCCTCCCTTATTTTTAACTTTTGTATTTTTCTTTAAAAGGATCCTGACATCAATCTTAATTCTCAACTGCATGTACTGCATCCAAAAACTTGAATTATTATTCTTGTCATACTCCACAAACTCCCCGGTGAAATTTGCTATGGTTTTCCCAACTGTTTCCAGCATTAGACCCGTCAGTAGATTATGGATTTGGATCCAGAACACCACAAAATGAAGAGGTATGTTGTCAATTTGAACTCCCATATGCAGTTTCTCAATAATTAGAAGGTGATTATCATAAGACCAAGGACCACCCTTCAACACTGCTTCCGTATCCAGGTGATGAAAAAATGAAACAGAAAAAGGCCCTCACTAGCTTGCTTGATTGTGACCCCTTTCACCGGTCGCCAAACATCCGTCGTTCTAGCTTTCATTGACTTCACATGGATAGATCTATCACATAAAAATCTTCCTACAAGACACCACTGTAAATCTCCCGCTTCTCCGTCGTCTTCCTCCACGTTGAAACAAAACCCTTCGTCTTTTCCTTCCTCGTGAATAGAGAGCCCTTCGATATTAGAATCAGACATTCTAAAAAGAAACACAGATTTTGAGAAAAACTAAAATTATGTCTTGTAACTAAGACTGAGTTGAACCAATAACCAGGAAGAGAATCATGCTTCTCAAAAAAGAAGAAAAACAAACCCTAGTAGAGGCTAGAAATCAAAAAAATCAATTTTCTTTCAACCAATTTTTCCCAGTTGAAACAATATTAACATTTAAATCGCGTTTGGTTAGACTATAATTCCCAGTTCAATAGACCGGTTATATCCAATTCGACTTTTAAAACATGTTAAAACCTTTAAAAAAGTCAGATCTTGATTGAATGGTCTAAAATAAAAAAAATTTAACTATTTTTTAGAAACATAATTTATGTAGAGCCTGAAATGTAAACCGTTCCTTATCCTCTCCTTTGTATTCTTTCGTCACATCCCTTATTTTATATTTGAGTTTATATATATATATATATATATATATATATATATATATATATATATATATATATATATATATATATATATATATATATATATATATATATATATATATATATATATATATATATATATATATATATATATATATATATATATATATATATATATATATATATATATATATATATATATATATATATAGATAGAGAGAGAGAGAGAGAGAGAGAGAGAGAGAGAGAGAGGGGGACGGATCTAGGTTGTGTTAATTGGGGACATTTGTCCTCACTAGTTTATTTATTTTGTATTAAACAATTAATTATTTTAGTTTAATTTTTCTTACAAATTAAATATTGCCCCCATAAAATGAATTAATTAATTTTAATTATAAATAATTAAATAAAAAATAATTTAAAAGAGAAGTTGTTAAAATATTATTTGACCACATACACATAAATATATATGTAATAATATTGAAAATTAAAAATTAAAAAAAAATAACAATTATTCTGAATATCTAGCTTATAGATTAATTTGTTGTTTGAATAACTATTATTATTTTATCTTTTTCAATTTTTTGATGTAGTACTCTAATGGCAACAATCAGGTACTAAATAAATTAAATTCACAAGACAAATATATATTTATTTTAATAAGTTTTTATACAAAAATTTCTAATATGTCGTATGTAATATTTAAAATATGTGTATTTTATTTTTCGCATAAAAAGTATCTCACTTTTATATTTTTCAATATAATAATTATCTCTTAAAAATATGATACAATATTTATTATTATTTTGTATTACTATTTCTATTATTTATTAACTTTATTTTAATTCAACTATGGTATTTACAACAATTAATTAATAAATGTATTCTTGAAAATGACATTCATTTTTTTTATTAAAATTAATAAATATAATTATTTTTTAAAAAACTATATTGCTCAAATAAAATATCTTATAAGAGGTGAAGGAGTATTATTTCGCTCCCGCTAATTAATATTCCTGAATCAGTTCATATATATATATATATATATATATATATATATATATATATATATATATATATATATATATATATATATATATATATATATATATATATATATATATATATATATATATATATATATATATATATATATATAAAACATGTTTTATTTTTTTCAAATAAATCTGTATATATCATTCTTACAATATAGATGACACCTACACCATATAAATATACATGTAAGTTTTGACGGTTAAGAAATGATATAGTTACCTAAAATTTCCATCTACGCCCTATTTTCATACTATACGACCTACATCTTGGTTTTATTTATTATTTTTATGAAAATTGAAAATTGTGGTGTAGGCAAAATGAAGCTGAAGATATATAATGTAATCATAGGGTGTAATGATTTTGGTGTCCACTCCTCTTTCACGGTTTGACCCATATAATTAATTCTTACTATGATTTCATTTTCAAGCTTTCGAAAGAAAGATGTTACAGAAAAGTAAATAAAGGAAATTAAATAATATTAAATCACAAGTTTAGAAGTAAAAAAAAAAAAAACAATGGATACATATCTTCTACTACCTTTTGTTTCTGGTGACTAATCGTAATCGTAATTGTTATTAGAGACAACACTTTAAATCATGAACACAAATTGAAAATCTTGCGACAAATCTTATCCCAACAAACACAATTTAATCCAAAGCGAAAAATACATTAAAATGAAACAAATAAGCCAAGACTAAACCATTCAAATAAGCTCAAACACATAATACCATACCATAGTGGAAGCACAGTTTATTGAAAGTTGAAAAGAACCCTAAAAATGAAAAACTAAACAATCCAAATTAATGTGAAAATGCATGCTAGCATAGTTTACGTAACGTGGAACACATAAACATTCAAATGATGGATTCATCATTTTAGAAAAACTGAGCAGAAGAAACCAACTCCAACATCCCATCTGAAAGATTATCGTTTTGAATTCCATTCAGCATTGGAGAAAGGTAAGGATACATGTTGTTAGGTTGAACATCAGAGAGAATCTGATTTTTGGTAGATTGGTTCTTATAGTATTGGCTAAATACAGGTTCAACATTATTATTCACCTTGAAAAGCTGTTGCATGAAGAGAAGTTCATCGTCGTAAGATTCAGCTATAAGCGGTGAAGATGAATTTTCATGAAGCATGTTAGAAAAAATAAGGTGAGATTGGTCTGCAGAAGGGTCGTCAGAGATCGCTGACGCGGAAGTAGTAATAGTAGTAGTAGTGGCTGTGGATGGTTTTTGAATCAAGGTTTTGATATAGTCTTGAAGAATTGAAGATTGTGGTTTACCATCTTTGGTTTGTGGCCTTTTGTTCTTTCTCTTTGAGTTTTGTCTTCGTCTAGTTGCATTCCAATGATTCTTGATTGCATTCTCGGTTCGACCGGGAATTTTCTTCGCTATCTCGGCCCAACGGTTTCCCATCTTGCCATGACATTCTACTAGTATCTTCTCTTCTTCTTCACTCCAACTATCTTTCTACAACATGTTCAAAACATTTGGAGTCATAACATCACAAAGTTCAAATTTCATTGTTAGTATACTATTAACTTTCTTTTCACACAAGTTCATAATATAGAAAAAGTGATCAAACTATATATTTAAAAAAATGGTGAGGAATGAAAAAATGACATACTTTAATATCAGGCCTAAGATGATTTTGCCATCTCTCCCTACACTGTTTTCCAGCTCTTCCTTCCAACTTCTCAGCTATTTGAGACCATTTTCTTACGCCATATTGCTTCACCAACTTCAATAATTTTCTTTGTTTTTAACATAATAAAAAAAAAACTTAAACTTTAGTCAAAATATATATTATTAAAGCATAAATAAAACACACAGAAATAGATAAATTTTTTTTGATTTAATTACTAAACCTGTCTTCTTGATCACTCCACTGTCCTTTGATCAAAGAAAGAGAAGAAACTTTCTTAGGTCTTTTTCCCACCACTTTTGATGTACCTTTTCCTAATAATCCATTGATCACATCTTCTTTCTCCACAGACAATGAAGGAATTTGTTGTGTCCATTTCATCACCTCTTCCTCTCCCAATAGACGATCAACAAAGCTAGCTTCTTGAGTCATGATATTATTATTATTAGGCCACATATAACTATAGGTTGAAGCACCAAAGCTACAACAATTTCCATCAACAATGTTTTGAGGAAGATGGTTGCGTTGACCACATAAGAATCTATCAATGGCACTCATAGGAGGACCTATAGATGAGTGGTTGCTCATTTTTATGTCATCACCAAATCCAAAATGTGATCCAATTTTTTTCATGAAGTTTTCTTATGGAGAATAAAAAGGACTTAACAAGCTTATAATTAGATATATGTATCCATAGCCGTTGATTATGCACTATGATCTAATGGATAGAAATGAAATATTATACTGTAACTGCTGATCTTCCTCTTTGACAAAATTTAGTGAGCTAGGAGGAATCAATGAGATAGTATTAATCTCTGTATTATTTCATTAAAACTATATTTTAATTCAGAATTCAGTTTTAAAATTTTTTAAATATATTATTATTTATTATAATATTTCTTAACTATCATAATGAACCAATTAATGGGGAATACTGATATAAATATGATTTAACTTTCCATTGTGAGTCATTATTATATATTCAAAATCATTAAAGTGTATAAATTTTTTTATCTTTTATTTTTTTAGACATTCACATATAATTCTGGTTTGTAAGGATTTTAAATAATATAGATAGATGATAGAGTCGTTACAAAAATATAATTAAACAAATATAATTAAGAAAATTTTAATTGATCAGGTAATTTAAATTCAAATAAACCTAGATTGCCAGATTGTTTTTAATATACACAGATAAATTAAAACTTGTAATATTATCTATATATAAAATCATACAAAACGCCACTATATATGTATTTGATAAATAATATATTAACACAAATACAAAAAGAATGAGGGATTGACAAAAATAAATAAATAAATAAATAACAAGGGAGAGGATAAGGAACGGTCTACATTTCAAGCTCGCGATAATTTATGTTTTTAAAAATAATTAAAATTTGTTTATTTAAACTATTATATCAAGATCTACTTGTTTAGATTCACTAATATATACAGTAAGTGACTTATTCAGTAAATATTTGAAGAAGGATATAAGAGGTTTTAATGTATTGGCAATTTCTTTTCTTATTTTCCTTGGCGAAAAGTTAAAAATACTTCTAGATTTCTAAGATATATTTTTCAATGTATCGTTTTTATATTTTTCTAAAATTTAGCTTAGAGATTTATCTTCGTATTTATTTTAGGGTTTGTTCGCATATGCATTTTTGAAATAACTTTTAATTTTGAATTTAAAGGGATATTCAGAGATGCACCTCCGACTGTGTTTAATGTGCGTTAAACCCTCCCTCTTCTCCTTCTTCATTTTCTAAAACTTTTTAATTTTCAATTTCAAGCAACATTGGAGCTCGTAGCAACATACTTCCAATCCATTTTTCAAGATTCTTCAAGGATAATCACAACCTCTACTTCAACCATTTCATTCTCAACCAACTCCACTTATTCATCCTCAACACTTTTTTGAATAAGTTTCTCATTTATCTTATTTTATTTTTTGATTAATGTATTATATAAAATAGCTTGTTATAAATGCATTACATAATAGTCGAATTTGTAATAGATAGTTGTTATAGACATGCATTATAAATTGATTGTGTTTTCGGTTGTTAGGGCAAAGACTAATATCAGTTTCTGCCATTGATGCAAACATGAGCTTTTTTGGAAATGCATCTATGAATTGGTGGTTTATTAGTTTTCAGAGATGCATATCAGAAATTGTCCTTGCCAGATGCAAACTGATGTCTTTTCCTCGTATTATTTCAGGAAAAATGGTTGCAAACAACAACGACATGCTACGGCTCGGCCGTGAAACCCAACACGCGTCCGTTCGACGTGAGAGATATATTTGCTAACGATTGTTATCTATATGTTTGGACTGGAGATGTATTTTTGTTAAAGATTGTTATTTTATATGTTTTAAACAGTTTTCCTGCGATTGATATTTTGTTTTTTTAATAGGAGTGTGATTGTTTGAAGTATGTTAACCATAAAACAAAGATTCTGAAGCTTTATTAGTCTAAGGATAATTGGTTCAAGAGTTTCCTTCAGTACTTCGGTATTGCAAGCCTATGTTGCTTCGTGTTCAAGGCCATTAGCCATGGCATGCAAGGGGATTTCGCTGAGAGATGGCATAAGGAAACATCACCTTTCCACTTTCCCATTGGCGAGATGACGATCACCCTGGATGATGCTACTTGCCATCTACACCTTCCCATCAAGGAGAGGTACTTGATCATTCCAAGATTAAACGTGATGAAGCCTATGAGATGATGGTCATTCATTTGGGAGGTGACCCAATGGATGTCCTGATTTAGTGTGAGAGCACCAGAGGTGCACATGACAAATTTTCTTACTTGGAGACTCTATGCATCAATTTTGCCATAACTGCTTGAAGTAGAGATTCATCAGGGAATTGTCATGACTAGCTGTGGTAAATACTTAATGGGGAATCATCATATCACTTGAGACATGAGCTCTTTGGGGTATGGGTGAAGAATGCTACGAGAACAAAGTAGCTCTGCATTGATGAACTGCATGGTGGTCTCCATTTCGAACAACATTTATTGTGAATGGATAAAATAATCTTCAATTCTCAAATGCCCCAAAGATCACATAGTTTATGAGAAGAAGTCATCTCAAGAGGATTTTACAGAAAACCTGACATCCAAAATGCTCTAGTGTCTTCAAACTCTCAGAAAGATTTATCGAATCTCGACGTAGCTGCCCTAGATTGACTACATTATGTATAGCTGAAACTTCAAACTTACCCCTTATGGATAGTCGGACTATGGAAGCAACAACTGGGAAACAACTTGCCCTTGTTTAGCAGAGTCTTCAGGCAACATGCCCCAAGATATGGTCATCCCTTTAAAATGATTCATCATTTATCATCAGAGTCTCAAGTGTCAAACGATTAAGCTCATCATTGATGTTTGTATACAAGCTTCTATGAGATCAAGCAATGTTAGCAAGCAAAAGAATGTTAATTCTGAAACTGCTAATGCAACACACATGTTAGTCTTGAAGTTTTTATTAGAAAGATATCATAATAACCTGTGACTAAATCACTAGTTAGAATATGAATTAATTTTACAAAGCCAACACAAAATTTGAGCTTAGCTCATGGAAGTCAGGAAACGTTATCTAATCGAGTATGTTTTAGAAATAAACCATGCTTCAATTAGGTCTTTTAAGGGTTGTATCATGGCTTGGTTCATGGTTTAAGAAACAAAGGATAAAGGCTCAAAGTTTATTTCTACCCACCCAATCTTCGTGATGTTCTCAAATCCTATGTTAAGCTAACTGACGCGAGCACTCATTTCTCAAGAGGAGTTTTTGATATGGTTGAGAAAACACCGAGGCTTTGGACATGGCAGTCACTTACATTTTTTGCTTTTGGTGTTTGATCACATGACTTGGTTCTTTACTTGAGGATTTTCTTTGTGATCCTTTATTTTCGCTTTTCGCGTTTCATTTTATTAATTTTTTTTATTCCCTAACTTTTTCCTAGACTGAGTCTTTTGGATTTGAATTTGGAGTCCAACGGGATGTCTCAATTTTTCCTAAGTCTCCTTCATAGGTTTTGACTTAGTGGGCCTTTTCTTTTTTCAATTTTTTTTTGTGATTTATGACCAAATCGTGTGACTCTAAGTCATTTTTACCTTTTTGAAAGGATTGTGGTTGCCTTACTCTTTAGATAGTCGAAGGATAATCATTATGGATTTAACTTCCAGCCTCCTAATATGTGAGGGATAGATAAAATGGATTTTTGGATGTTCACTCCTCCTCTTTTGAATGTTTGGGCGCTCGATCAGCTTAACTGAAAACTACTCTGCCCCAGGTTAAAATTGAGGGTTTTTTATATGAAAGGAAAAAGAAAACTCCTACTTCGAGGCTCAAAGGGGTTAACAAAGGTCTGTCACCCTTATATCCTTAGTGTTTTGGGATTTGAAACAATGCCTTACATCATCCACAAGGTTTTACTCAAAAGCATACAACAAGAAATCTTGCATTTTCACTTCTTCATCCTCCCTCCAATTCTCTACCAAGGCAAGAGATTGGGTAAAGTTGGCATTATAAAACAAGAAAAAGCATTTTATGAGTGAATACAGATGGATTTCTTCAAGACGAACATATTCATTGCATTAAATATTCAAAACAAACAAGTTCTTATATGCAAATCATGATTTTACAATCACAGAAAGTTACACATGAAAAGAAGCAAATAAGCTAAACATCTGACAAGATATAGCCTAAAGATAACTCCTCACAGCGTTAGTCCACCATGTGCACAGAAAAGCTTGCTCAACGCTCTAGCAAAAAGGGCGATTTGAACCTTAGATTTGCACATCATGAAGGACGTGATGCCTTTCTCCTTGAGAACATAACATTCCTTAATATTATGGTCGGGTGACCCTTTGATGGAAAGCACAGAAGGCATCAGTCTTGAAGTAGCTCGCATAAAGCATTGGGATGGCACATGGCGTTTTTGTCTTGATTAGACCCTTCTGCAAGAGGACATGGAATAGTTTGGCAAGTGCACATGGGTGCCCTCAGATCGATTGCTTTGCTTAGCTGGCTGATTAATTGAGGAAAAAGAACCATTCTGACATTGAGAGACGAGCAATTCTTTGACCAAAGTAGTCAGACGCTTCTTAGCAATTTTTCAAGTTCGCGACCTCATCTTGAAGCTCTTGATTTCCTTATTTGTGGTTGTCTACCAAAGTCTTCTTTATGGCAAAAAATGTCCTCATGTGGGCTATCAAGGTGGAAATCTCCTCTTGAAGTGCTTGGTTTTCTTGTTCCAAGTGATTCATCTTCTCTTGTTGTTGGCTCGAGTACTGAGGTGACAGACTAGCAGAGACAACAGAATGAGCAAGAACAATGCACATGAAATACAAATGAGATGACATGTGCATGAATACGATGCAAATGCAAGCCTAATGGTCTCAAGGAACTCAAAATTAAGTTGCCAATATTTTGGAAAAAATGAAAAGTTTTATTTCATAATCCATGATCTCTATTGATTTTTTTTGCACAGAAAAGAACAACTGAGTTCCTTAAAACCAAAAAAGTTATTCATGAATGCATAAATGTATGGATGGATGTATGAATGTATGCACAAACACAGGTATTCACATATTCACATATATATGCAAACAAATAAGGGCTTA